GGGGGGAGGGGAATGCTGCGCCACGGAGCTGTTGCTTAAGTGATTCTTAAAAACCACTGAAGAATTACGGTTTCTAGTGCTTAAACGTGAAGGGATGTGATCCTGCAGGCTGCATCCTTCAGGATCTCGTGAGGCAGCTGCAGAGATTCTCGCCCAGCATGGGACGAAGTAAACTTGCTGTGAAAAGGAAAGCACTGACGTGTTGGTGCACTATGGTAGGCATATGTGATGCTGCGTGGAAAAGCAAGTCTGCCCTGAGCTGGGCAGTCCAAACATGTGGACAAGATGAGTAACCTGAGCTTTTTTGTGCTCCTTTCACCTTACTCCAAGTAGTAGCAATAAAAAGTGTGAGGAATCAAGCTTAGTTCTATCCATTGAGGGGAGGTATGCAAAGCTGCCATTAAGTAGGGTTTTACAGAGAAGGAGGGGGGGACTTTTTGCTTTGTACCACAGTTAATGTTCACAGCTCACGTTTCTTTTTTTGACTCTGTCTGGGAGTCTAGATTGTGTCTTTCCAGACCCTTTTTCAGTACAGCAGTAGGAAGTTTGATGTCTTAAGATCGTGGAGTCTGGTGAAGACAATGCTGTGAGACCAAGACCAAGTTTATGTTCCTTGATGTTTCATTGACTTATTGTATTACTTTCACCAAGTCACTTTCTCACTTCTTGTGTTTTGCTGGCTCCCTTTTCTAGTATTTTTTTCTTTTTTCCATTTCAGTTCTCAGCTAACACAGGAGTGAGCTGTGCAACTTGTATATCGTTTCTGTAGAGACCTGATTTAAGCAGTGAATGCTAGGCTCTTCTAGAATGCAAGTAAATGATAACATGTTCTCTTCTGTCTGATGAGCGTTGCAGTATGATATAGACTTCAGAGGTCCAGATGGCATAGCTGCAGACAGCAATGGTATATGCCAGCTGCTATGTGCATGTGGAAAAGTTGAAAAGATGGAGGTGCTATATCTTGTAGCTGTGCGATAGTGCTGTGCTGTATATCAACCTGTGATTTTAAGAAAATCAATTGCTTTTGATGTTTTCAAAACAGTATGAATACTCTCTTTTTCTGTCCTCAGGGTCAGATGTCTTTGAAATTGTTCTCCCAATCACTATCTTTGTGCTGAGTGATGATGATTTTCTCCAAGATGACGGTGAAGAGCAGGCAAAATTGTTTTCTAAGCTGAAAGAAAAGGAGAAGCAGGAGGCTAACTTAAATGATAGCAGTGTGACACCTTCAAATGAAGACAATAGTTTAAGGAGTTGGGAAGAAAAGACTCCTTCAAATAAGGAGAATAATATAACATACTCTGAAGAAAAATGCGTTGGCCAGAGTGTGTGTGACAAATCCAAATCAACCTTATCTTCTTTAGGTGAACAGTGTGATCTAAGCAAGGATAGATACAGTCGAAATGATGTGTTGCCTTCATCGCCTGGCAAAACAGACCCTACCAAGATAAATGAAACGGGTAACAGCAAGGAATGTGACAATGATGACGGTTTTCATAAGATTCCTCTTCTGTGCGCATCTGCTGCTGATGAGGGCAGAGATGAGACCATCAATACAGAAGGAGAGTTGATGTTAGCAACAACGTCCAAAGATGAAGAACTTGCCAATACTGCAAGCATTCTTTCTGATGGCAGTCAAGAGAAACAAGTGGAAATCCACACAGAGATGGAGACAACTATTGAAATAGAAGGTAATAATACGCCTGCAAGGGTTGAAGAAATCCAGTAGATTTCAAGTTTGAAGGAGGTGGGAAAGTTTATAGAAAGAATACCAAAAACATTTATGTTAATATAAGCATTCCACCCGAGATTAGAATCAGATGCAGCAGAAAGTGAATTTTGGCTGGAGTATGTTTAGTTTTTGCATGGACCTCGGTGAAAAAATAATGGAACCCCAGTAAATTGGTACTGTTTTGTTCTGCTGCAGCTTGAGAATGGGCTGCTTTTCATTAGGGGAAAGGTTCTGAAAATAAAAACAACCTGGGTTAAAGCTTTTCTTCCTCAGCTATGAATACTAGAGGGAGAAAAGCAGCACAAAGCTACATTTATCACCGTAAGCGGAGACTGGGAGACGCATCATCTAGGTTTAGACGCCACCATTCCCTATAGCAGATAGAAGTCCTTCAGAAAGGATGGGGTAGAGTAGGAGAGTACCAGGAGAACTTTCCCTTTTAACAGACAGAAGATAGCAGATTGAGCATTTTACGTCTGAGATAAGCTGATTGCCATCTGAAGAATGGAGCCCCAGCAAATCAACATCATCAGCAATGCTCTGATAGGAGTTTTGGCATAAAGCTATTTTCATGAAAGCTTTAAGGGATATGGTGTTGTGTACTGTGAAATTGAGGTCTGAGTGAAAGAAGGAAGTGGACAGAAGGAAGCTTCTAATTACAATTTATTTTCTTACAATATTTAAAGGATGGATGGGCAGGGGTGTAGAGGAAATAAGTGATCAGAGAAAAGGAAATGGAGGTAGGAAAATACTTAGTAAGCAAAAAGAGTGAAGAGCAAAGAAGTGCACAGACAAGTTGGGATTATTACTATGGATTAGTCACGAACATTGGTTAATGTATGCAATCTCATTCATGTGATTTTTTTTTTTTTTTTTTTTGCTTTTTCTAGATACTGATTCTTCAAACAGTGGAAATAATGAAGTTAGCAGCACAAGAAAGAGAAGCAAATCTGAAGATGAAACTCACAGTTCTCTTTTGCAGCGTGACTTGAGAGAAGAACTGAAGCTTGCCTACAGTAGTTCTGTGCCAGTTATTAATGGATTTTCTCCTAATTCAGAAGAATTGCTAAAAGACGTAGGGTATTTGGAGATGAACGCTTCTCTTTGTGCTGAGTCAAATGTTCCCGAAGAGCATATTTATCAGTCGTTAACTCCATTTTCTAAAAAAAAAGATCAGCAACAAAATGTGATTTCCCCTTATGCAAGCCCAAAAGACTTGGAAGACCAGCAAGAAGGTTTATCATGGCTAAGTAATAGTGTGAACATCAAACCTCTTTCTAAGGGATCTTGTTCTATAAATAAGCATGAAAAGTTAAATTTGAAATGCAAGTTTTGTAGTTCTATATATAAATGTACTGCACGTTTAAAGAAGCATATTTATTCAGCTCATAAAGATAAAAAAGTTTATAAATGCTGCTTTTGTAAAAGAACGTTCTTCTTTTCTGTCAACCTTAAAAATCACCTTAAATTTCATAAGAAAATTACCAGGTTGCAAAAGGCAAGAAAAAACAGAATGAATGCTCGAAAAAGGAGGCAGAGAAGAACTGAAGAAAGAAAATCTGAGATCAAGAAAAAGGAAAGTAAGTACGAGAAATTTTTCATCAAGATTGAAAGGGACTTTACTCCTCTGGGTGTTCCTGTTATTTTTTCCTGCAAAATTTGTTTCTTTGCTTCATCAAGTCCTAGGATTTTTATCCATCATATGAAGGGACATAAAGAGAGACCACCTTACCAGTGTCCTCAGTGTGATTATTCCTGCATTAGCTTATCCTATATGTTAAATCACATGTACTGGCATGCTGGATATAAGCTGTACAAGTGCAGGTTCTGCACCTTTTTTTCATTGTATTTTGCAAGCATGGTAAGGCATAGCTATATCCATACAGGGGCTAAGCCATATACCTGTGAGTTCTGCCAATCAGCATTCACAAGCACCAGTGGATTAAAGAGACACCGAAGATTACACACTGGCGAGGAAACATGCCAAGGGCAGCAACTCGTTGAATTTGTAAGTGGAAGAAAAAGAACCCAAAGACCTTTAAAGAGTTACACATGTGATGAGTGTAACATAGTGTTTTATACTAGGGGGCATCTCAGCTTTCATAAGAAATTTCATGAGCAGCTTAAGGCTGCTGCTAATGGTTATATGGATCAGAGTAATGAATACCGTGAAAGCAAAATATATGAAATTGACAGTGATTCCCGGGACTGTGTTTCTCTACCTCTTTCTGACAAAGAAGACGATCATCCAGCTGGGGGAATGTGTAAAATGCTGGTTTCAGAATTAGACTTTAGGCAGGCAGGTGACATGTGGGACAATAAGAAAATGTGCTCTGGAGAGAAATTCCCTGAAAACAGCTATGGAAGCAACAGTTTGCCGGTTGTTGAGAATGGATCGGAAGTTCTTCCAGACTCATGCACAACAGGCACTGTGATTTGCAAAGAGGAACCTCTCTTCAGCCCTGAGGCCACTCATTCACAAGTTCGAGATGATAATGAAGATGATACAGACCATAAATTTGTGGAAAAGTTTAAGGATACATGGCCTTCCAGTTTGTCTTCATTCAGAATGTACAAGTGTAAACAGTGTGATTATGCTACTGCTGTTTATAGCAACCTTAAGCTGCACCTAAGAATACATAGACATGAAAGACCATTGGGGTGTAAAGAATGCAATAAAACATTTAGAACTTTAAGCCATTTGCAGAGACACAACTGTCTTCATGTGAAGAATCAATATGAGTTTGACCATTGCCTCTGTGTAGATAGCCATTTAGAGGATCTTGAATTGCACCGTGAAATGCATGTAGGCGTGTGTCCAGAAAGAGATTTTGGTTCTTCGGAACGTTTGAGCAGTGTCCATTCCTTGCTTTGTTCGGAAGCATGTGGAGAACAGACAGATGTCCAGAGGAACAAAGAAAGTGATTTAGCAGCACAAAGTCAGCCGCGGTTCTATAAGTGTGCAGAGTGTGAGTACACTACTTACATTTTAAGCAACCTTAAGCTGCATGTAAGAACTCATACAGGTGAGAAACCTTACAGCTGCAGTGTTTGTCAGAAGAAGTTTCGTACTTCCAGTCACCTGAAACGACACAAGGTCATGCATTTTAATGCAGAGCATCTCAAATGCAGGAACTGTGACTATTCAACAGACAAATGGCTATCCTTGAAACAGCATCTGGCTTCACACTCTGATAAGGAAATCTCATCTACTGGCAGTCTCTATGAACAAAAAGCACTACCTGTCAAAACATACACATGTGAAGAGTGCGGCTATACCACAGTCCATAATGGAAACTTTAAGCAGCACTTGAGAATTCATACAGGGGAGAAGCCATTCAAGTGTAGTCAGTGTACTGTTTCATTCCGCACATCTAGCCACCTGAAGCGCCACTTGCTAACTCATTTAAAGTTACACTGCAAAAGGTGTGACTTTTACGATAGATAGATATGCTACGCAAAAGCATGTAAAAACGCACAAAGGTTAAAATGTACAAAGTGCAAAAAATGTGATGTCACGTTTTCTACCAAAAAGCTTCTGGAAAAGCATAAATGGCAACATTTAAAAGCTGGAACATAAGCATGGATTTTGCAAGCAAGGTCTCAGTTCTGTAGAGCTGTACATGTTTTGAATTTATTCATTGTTTTGTGTTCATGTGCTGTCCCCAGAATGATAGCTGATAGTGGGTGCATCTAGTCTTTTTGGTCCAGAGAATAAAATCGAGATTGTCTTGCTCCTGGCTCTTCTGAGAGCTTCGGTTCCGGCAAAGGATGTGCTAAAGAAGTTCTTGAAGGCACGTTTTCATGCTTGAGCACTTTTTCTGTTCTCTAAGGTCGGAGCTACGTTTTGCCCTATGCTCATCAGTTGAAACACCCTCATAGAAGGGTTATCTTATTCTATTTCACCTTTTTTTTTTTTTTGGTAGCTAAACTGGAGTCTTGTTTAGCTGAAAGAATGTTTAAAGGGAGGGGAGTGTGTTTTACGTTGCGAAGTAATAACTTTCGAATTAAAAATTGTCAATGTGGTTGGAGGCTTAATGTTCCCTCCTGTCTGCTGAAACTTGCATTCCCTCCTGTAAGGTTCTCTTGCAACAACTGCAAGAGAACGGATTAGAAGTGTTTCACAATATTACTGAAACAGATTCATGTAATCACTGGATAATTGGGATATGAAAGTCTTTTATGTATATATATATATGTATATATGAAAAGGTTGTTAGGCACTTAATCTTGTCTGTAATTATCCCTGATAATTCTTTGAGTAGTCTGACAGAAATGGTAATGTAATCAGATCTTGTGAGATACTGAGAAACTTCAAATCCATCTTTATGAATTTTATTTAGATGCCTGATATTAATCTAGTATGAAATGCCTTATCTTTTCTCAGGTTGCTAAATGCAGTTACGGTGCTTCTTGGGGGAAAAAAAAATCATAGCATCTATTTTGAGAAACAATATTTCTGTTAATTTAGGCACCTCCTTACATATTGCAAATACTTCTTGGATTGCATTGAAAACTTCAGCAATATCTTGAACTGTCAAACTTGCTTGTTAATATGAGAGATTTATTCTGCCTCTGAAATGACATGTATAATGACATATATCAAACTGTAGTTATTTAATAGAAATACATTATGGTGAAGACTGAATGAGATGGATGTTTCTTCCACTTTGTAGTCAAGCTTGCTTTGAGTTATACAGCGCTAGAGACTGTATGGAAGCCGCTAACTATATGTTCAATGGTATTTATAACAGCAGTGCTATCTTGTGTGGGGGGAAAAAAAGATAATGGCAAAGGATTGATACTAATTACCCTTTTCATGTTATAGTTCAGTCCATGAAACAACAGAGTAAGCCTGAAGCTTAATTTAGAGAATGTTACCATGAACTACTACTGCTATGTTACTGCTCTCAAATTTATGCTTTTCTTTGTTAATATAGGTGATACCTTGGAGAGGCTCTTTGGCAAAGTAGAAAAGCAATTTGCAAGAAGAGTGGACTGAAACTTATCAGTGGGTGCATGCACCTAAGGCTAGATCAACAAAGGAATTTAAATGATCTAGTTCTCTTTGATTTCAGTAAAATCAGGCAATTAAATGTTTGTGACCATGAACCTTAGTGATGTTACAGATATTTTTACTATAAGCTGGGAAGTCACCATTTGGAAATGCAAGAAGAAAGATTCTGATCTTAGAATGACTGAACTAACAATTGGTTACAGCTGTGAGAAGTAAGTTAGCTTAGCATGAATGTGGCAAAGCGTTTCTGGGAAATATTAACACTATTATGCAACCATGGTTGACTTTATTTGAATTTCTCTGGAATTCTGACAGCGTATTTGAAGAAAATAAAAAAAGAACAGGTGCAAAGAAGAGATACAAAAATGATGACAGAATTGAAATTCTGTGCATCAGGTGAAACTATGAAAACAAAATCTGATAAGGAATAATTACCTGTTTATAAGTATGTTTTAAATAAACTGAGCTCCCCTTTTCTCCGTTAAGGGATAAATACACTGTGAATTAAATCAGACAGGACACACAGTAAACACTGGAAATTTCTTTTAGTGGCAAGTAAGGAGAACAGAAGACATTCTCAGATGGAGCTTGATAAGTTTGTAAAAATAACTTTTTAGGGTCTTTTATGTAATTTAAAAAAAAAAACAAAAACAAAAAAAAAAGACTCATGAGGTTCCCCTCTGTCCTTAATTCTTTCCTAGTGCAAATGCACTGTCCTTCATAGAATTAGAAGTTTAAACCTAAAGTAAACCTAAATTTAAACCTAAATGCATATCCACTTTAAAATAAGGGCATTGGCTATTTCTAACGAGCAAAAAAATACAAATCAAAGGTGTAATATTTTTGTCCTTGCAGAGTTTTAGCAAGAAGCAAAGTCTTTTCTAAATCCTACTATGATATCTTTTACTTGAAACAAAACATTATCTTGGTGATTTTTTTTTTATTAACACATCCTGAATTTGGATAAAACAGTAAAATGCAATAGCATTAGTGACCCATCTCCTTGAGCAAATATATGGAGATCATTTTATCTGCTCCATGTCTTCTAAACAAGTGAATAATAAAGTTAAACTTGAGGTGAAATAAATGAATATAGGTGAGTTAGACCATGCTGCAATACTTGTAACCAGTTTTATATACAGCACATGGAAGGAAATAAGTTTTTTTTTTTTTTAGCTTGGAAAGTAAAAACTGTCCCATGCTGTTTTCCTCAGGCTCAATCCAGTGTCCCTAGGGGAGAGAAAATTACTAAATTTTAGTAATAAAGCTTTCACTTGGGCTTTTAAAATTGTGGGTGAACTGAGAGAAGAAAATACACAGAAAAGTGTGTTTAAAAAAAAATACTTTTGAAGGAGTCTTTGTGGACCAGATAATGTATGCTTCTTTCTATTGCCTCACATACCAGAGGCCTTTTGGATATGAGGGCATAGAGATAAGAAATAGGCATTCCTCAACTTCCCTTACACTTTGCAGTAAAGATGGGGGGGGGGGGGGTTTGTGTGTGTAAGAAAAAACTTTTGCTATCCAGCTTTAAAGGCGTGTGTCTAGTTTATAAATCGAATATAGCATTAAGGAAGGCTTGTACAGTCTTGGCAAAGGAGAAACTTGTGCAGGAGGAGGGGAGAAGGAAGCTTGTTGTTCATTCGGTTCTCTCCTTAAAGGACTCGGCCAGGAGATAGAGCAGTTAAATAAAGAGCTCATTTTGTTCCCATAACTGTAGGCTAACTTGCTGAGGGCTCTCCTATTAGAGAAGGGAATTGCAGCCGACTTAGCTTCAGCTTAGCATAAGCGCCTAAAGCAGGTGAAGCCTGCAGGCCGCGGGACTGAACTGTAACCCAAAGAGCATTGCTGGCAACGTGACTGCAAAGTAAGCTAAAACCAGCCCTCAAGGGCACAGAGTGACCAGAGGTAACAGCTGACCTTTGGATAAGATAAGGTGCAGGAACACAGCAGCCGTCCCGGGATGTATATGTGAACCAATCAGAGGAAAAGAGACCACCGACTCAGCAAAGAAGATTGGAAGAGACTATCACTGGCAGATGGGAAAATAAAACTGTAAAAAGTATAATTACTTAAGTATTCTTTTGTTCTGGGTCCATCCCCAGAGGCACCCAGCTCGAGCTGTTGCCCTGTCATACCATCATTTAATTAAATGATTTTGCTGTTGTACGTGTGTGAGACTCTGCTCCTTGGAAACCTAGCGTCAAACTATTTCTACAACATCTCCAGCCTTTCAGCCTAATGCGATCTTGACCTAGCAGACAAGAATTGCTTCTCAAAGGCAAGAATCCAGACTATGCATATGATTGGGGTATCAAAAGGAGAGAGGGGGATTCTTTTCTGAAGCCTGGCTTCTGCGAGGTTTAGATCCGTAATCCTGTGAAATAGGGGTGTGAGCCCAGCTGCCTTTTTTTTTTGTTTGTTTGTTTAGTAACAGTAACAGCTGCAGGAACAGTGGATTAGACAATGTCAACAAGTTGATTAGGATGGGAAGCATACTAGCAACTTGGTTCATTAGTGCCTAATAGGGAAGTTCAGCCTCAGGTTTTTTTTTTTTGGTTTGGTTTTGTTTTTCTGATTATTGGAACGGAAGATCTGAAACCTTATGTAAACAGTAAGGAAGCTTTGCAGTGAAGACTGCAATACATAAGAGTTCAATAAACAATGATAACAGAAAAAGGACGGGTGAAGAGGTGCAGGGGCCTGAAATGTAAGATTTAAGTAACTCTTAAAATCTGGACATCAGTGTTCCAATTTTCACTCGGGCTGCCTTGTGTTAATGTGGATTTTTTTTTTCCAAGATACTTTAGCAAAACACATTGTAAAAGTAAGACTGGTGAAATCTTACACAGCAGAGGACAGAAAAAAATGATCAGATTGGACGGGTGAAGAGGTGCAGGGGCCTGAAATGTAAGATTTAAGTAACTCTTAAAATCTGGACATCAGTGTTCCAATTTTCACTCGGGCTGCCTTGTGTTAATGTGGATTTTTTTTTTCCAAGATACTTTAGCAAAACACATTGTAAAAGTAAGACTGGTGAAATCTTACACAGCAGAGGACAGAAAAAAATGATCAGATTAAAAAAAAAAAAGGTTAAAAAAAACCCCAAGCCTTTTCGCCGCATGGAGTTTTGTTCCGCCTCTTCGAAGCAGCCCCCGGGCGGCCACGCCCCCTCTCCTGGCCACGCCCTCGAGCCCCGCCCAGACGGCTCTG